ATAATCATTAGGGTAGATGTTGTATGGTACAGTATGTTCTTTACCGGTATATTTGTATATATATACGGTAGCCCTAATTCAAAAAGGCCTAAATTAGTACTGACAATATCCTGAATTAATATTGTAGGCTCGTCTGGATGAGCTCCACCGACTATGGGCCCTTCTGATGTCCAAGCTTTCCGAGAAAGGCCTGAAGCTAAAGCAGGCGCTCCGACTTGTCCAGTTTATGCGGGAGTGTAACGAAGTGATGTTCTGGATCAGTGATAAGGAGGCTTTCGTATCCTCGGAGGAATTTGGACAAGATCTCGAACATGTGGAGGTTCTTCAGAAGAAGTTTGACGAATTTCAGAAGGTATAAACCAATGTCTTTATGCTCCAAATGTTTGTAAAAAGCAGTTTACCATATTTATTAAAATAGGTCTGTATCCATGAAAGAGAAATAATAGAAGCATTTGTATGTGAAAAAATTGTGTTGCTGTATTGATACTTGGTTTCAATGATTATGGAATAAAACAGACTGTGGATAAATTAAAGATATATGTGAATATTAAGTGAGATTTAAATCAATATGAACATCAGATAAGATTAAATTGTTTATTTATCAGGATCTACAAAATCATGAAGATAAAGTGACCGAGGTGAACAGCCTGGCAGAACAACTCGTTGCAGACGAACACCCAGAGGAGACAACTATCAGGGCCCGTCAGCAGGTTAGTATCTCAATCAAAACGACACCTCAAAGGTAAAAAAGGATAAAGATAAATATCTATTGCTTTGATAATATAGAACCATCGATTAATACTTTAAAAATAATACATGAAAGTGTTGAAATAAATTTAATGTTACATTGATATGATTGAAAGGAAATAAATGAGGCCTGGCAAAGACTAATGTTACATTGAAATGATTGACAGGAAATAAACGAGGCCTGGCAATGACTAATGTTACATTGATATGATTGACAGGAAATAAACGAGGCCTGGCAAAGACTGAAGCAGCTGTCATTGCTGAGACAGGAAAGACTGTTTGGTGCCCACGAAATACAGCGATTCAACAGGTACAGGGGCCA